ACCAAAAAAAAAAAAAAAAAAAAAAAATGCTTAAAGTATATCATTTTCCTGTAATTTAGGATTTGTATTGTGATAAAAAAAAATGGGACAAATACACAAATGAGAAAACTATGAGTAGCTGCTAAGAATAAACTTTAACAAAGATCATCTATTATTATACTTTGTTAATGTTAAAATATTAACCAATTCACAGCAATTCATGTCAGGTTATTATATCATTTTATAATGAGTTTGTGCCTTGATGATAGGTTTTTAGTAATGAAATCTATAAACTCCACATTTTAATTTAATAAGATTTTCGACGCACATGGAAATTATTATTTAAACCAAACAATACTATGAGAAGAGAAACATTCCTTAGAATCCCCCTAATGAATCTGCTCGTTATTTTTACTATATACTTAGTCACGCTCTGTACATATTTGTATATGGTGGTAGGCACTTTGACAATTATATTGTGGTTTGTAAATCTGATTTTTCACTTATGGCAATATTGCCACCCTAAGAAAAAGTGATGTCATCTGAGGGACGCTGTGCTTGAAGTCCATTCCTAATAATGAAAAAATTAGCAGTCTTGGCATTGATTGCCAGGACAGCATTTTATGCCATCTTTGCCCAAGGATGATCAAGAAAAGCCCAGTTTGGTGTGATTATTTTTTTATTATTACTCAATCAAGGAGTTGGAATATTTTAGAATCCCAGGCTACTTTTCAAGTAGTCTTTAATGACTAGTTCCAGAAAAGATGGAGAAAGGGCATATTATCAGAGACTCTGCTTCTCAAGTCTCTCTCATTTTAATCCTCTAGTCTATTCTTGCCTCCTTAAACACAGTCTCACTCCCGCCATCTGTAGCACCCCCACTATTCTTTCTCCAGCAAAGCAGACAAAGCAGGCATGTTTTTTGTTTATTAATTCTTAAAACTTGGACTTAAAATTTTCTTCCTCTGTAATATAGCATAAGGAACCAAAAGTAACCGTTGGCTGACTTAGGTGAGCAGAACTTGATACTCCTCCCATCCATGCCCCTCTTCCTACAAAAGTTCTGACTGATGACAGACTCATATTATCAGACCATCTTGCATGTTTCCTTCTTTTGGATTGATATTTAATAGACTGTCAAGAACAAGAGTCTGACACCCGAATTTGTTGACATGCCAGTTCTCCAAATGATTAGTGCAGTTCCATTTCCTGCCCATCTGGATATCCAGGCCTTAAAACTAAAGTAAAATATATTCATCGTGACCCTAAACTTTAGTTTGTTGTTGTTGTTATGTATACAGACATATGTATAGTGACTTAAGAAAAATTAACAGACTCAAAGGGATTTGAGGAGGAATTCTATTCTCAAAGTATTTGTTAGATATAATTAAAGTTTTCTATATTCATTAAAGGAATTATCAAATTAAAATTTTGGTTTCTGGGTTTCACATATTAAAAGTATCATCAGGTCACATTCTCTTATTTAAACCAGTAAACAGTTATTCTAATGGAAATATAAACAAAAACATAACCTGCAAATTGTTCTTCATTGCTGAGGATGGGATTATAGGTCTTTAACCTATTGGGGATATATGATACACCTACAATTTATATATTTATGTTTTTTATATAAATTATATATATATATATATTTCTGAGATTGTGAACACTCAAAAGAAAACCTTAACACCAAATTTTACTGTAAAATGGACACATTTGTTTTGCAGTGTACCTTATCTTTTTTATATTAGAACTCTGTTTCTATTTTCTAGCCATGGAAGAGAGAGCAGTTCAGCGAGCTGAACGTAGGCGGATCTTGGCAGAGAGGAAGAAAAAACAAGAAGAGGAGAAATTGGTAATAAATCAAGAATGCAAACTGAGCAAGAAAAAGGATTTGTATAGGTCTTTATTAAAAAATTAAACCTAGCTTATTTAAGCCTATTGAGACAATGGAGTTATACAAACTTTGGAAATGGCTTTTTGCCTACCGACCTGAACTCTGACACTTAGGAAAATAAAAGGAAAAAACATCAACATCATTAGTATAGCAGGTAGGAAATGTTACAAAAGTTGATGGGAGCTAAAAAATTGGAAGATTTTCACATAACCAAGAATAATGTGTTATAGGTAGATGTCCGACCGTGAGTTTGCAAAGGTGGATAGTTCTTATCCTTCAGAGTTTTGACTTGATCTGTCAGAAGTAAAGTTTGTGCCTACTAAGAAAGAACAGACAGTTCTAACAGCTTTGGGGGTTTATTTTGGTGAAATGCAAGAAACAATTTTCCCACACTACGTATATAGTTTGGGCTTAATAGTTCACAGATGGAAATAAGAACTAAAAAATAATCATTTCATGATTCAGAGTTAATGGTCTTATTCATGCTTAGTCTCACCTTCCCAAGTAGAAGGGGATTTTTTGGAGAAACTTTTAAGTTACCCAACTGACCACCCGTTGGTTGGGTTTTCTACTTTTATCACCAAGTGCTGGCTTCTTCCAGAGAGAGAGTGGGCACTTTGGTAGACGTTTGACTTTCTTCAACCAAAAATTAAAAGCTGTTATTTCCATACCAATTGAGGGTTCTCATTTTTATGAATTCCGACCTTGATCAGGCCCAGTTAAAGGCCCAAGAGGAGGAGCGTCAGAAGAGGGAGGCAGAAGAAAAGGAGGCTCAGCGTGAGAGAAAACAAGAAGAGAAGCGACTGAAGAAAATGGTTAGTAGCACCTGCTTGGCCTTGAAGCCTGTCGTGTGTGGTGCAGTGGCCCTGTGCGCCTTCCCCACCCCAGAACTTCTGTCTAGAACACTCTTTTCTCACTTCCACCCTTTTTGTCTATTTAGTGAAAGCCTACTCATTCTTGACATCTTACCTCCATATGCCTTCTTCCAGTTAGCCCTTCCTGCCTTCCCCACCCTCCTCTGCACCACGGTTAAGTTAGGTCCCTCTCTATGGACTCGGAGTGTATTTCCTTCAAAGCATTACCAGAGCTTATAATTATGCACCTGTTTTTTGGTTGTTTTCTTCGTTTCTGCATCTCCCACTAAACTGTAGTCTCCATAAGAGTAGAGGGAGCAGCCTAATGCTGCTCACGATTACGTTGGCTAGCAGTGTCCTGAGCATATAGCAGGAACTCAGCAAATGTGTTGAATGAGTGAATAAATGAACAAACAAATGGAAGAAAACACACAGAAGAAATGAGATAAAACTCTTATTTTCAAAGTTATTAAATTCTAAGTTTCTTAGATATGTGGTCAGTAATTTTGGAATATGTTTACCCATTGTTTCTTCAAATATTTCACCTGCCCCATTCTTTTTCTTTTCTTTCTGGGATTCCAGCTATGTTTGTGTTACATTGTTTGGTATTGCCCATCAGCTCTTGGATGCTTTGTTGTGGTTTTTACTCGTTTTTCTCTTTGCCTTTCAATTTGTGTAATTTCTATTGCCCTAACTTTGAATTACCTGATTCTTTCCTCAGCTGCGTCACAACCAGCAATAAGCCCTTCATTTCTGTTACCGTGTTTTTGATTTCTAGCATTGTCATTTGACTATTATATTGTCCATGTCTCTGCTAAAATTACCTGTCTGACCTCGAATGATGACTTCCTTTTCCATTATAGCCTTTAATGTTATCATAAGTTATTTAAAATTGCCTCTCTGATATTTCCAACATCTCTGTTATGTCTGAGTCTTGTTCTAATGATGGCTTTATCTTTTCAGACTGTTTGTTTCTTATTTTTTATTATGTCATGTATGTGTGTGTGTGTATATATATGTATATTTTTTTTCCCTCCCAAGTCAGACATATTATACAGGGCAATAGCAGCTGAAATAAATGGGAGATTTATTTAGTGTGGAGATTTACGCATATGTTAATCTAGCCGGAATTGGGCTGTGAAGATTGTTAATGCTGTGGTTACCATTGCTGAGGTTTGTTATTCCTATGGGCACCACTGACTTCATTTTCCTCTAGTGACTTTGTTATGTCTCCTCTTGTGGCCTTAGGTCTTCCCTTCGTGCTGTTCCCCAGAGAGAATCTGTGTCTCGCAGCTCTCTCAGCTGTACTCCTTTGTTACAACTGGAGGTTTGTGCTGGTGGGATGTGGACAACGGGGAGGAAATTTCTCTGATGTTCTGATTAAGTCTCACTCTTTGGGGTGCACACTACTGGGCATTCAGGAGAATTTCTGCTCCTACTCCAGGGGTGGGGCTTTTCCCTGCCCCCCTATTCTCTGCTTTGTCTCAGTCTGTGACCTGAAAGCCCTTTCCTCTGGGAGGTTCCCCCTCCACTTAGGTGAGATGGGGGGCTGGTCTGGACAGAGTTCCCTTCTGCCAGCTGAAGTGGCATTCCACTAGTGCCCTCAGGCAGTGCCACTTGCAGATGAAGTCTTTTGTTTCCTAAGAGAGAAAGGTCTGGGCAGGTTTTGCAGTGATTGCTGTTCTCTCCCCCAGCCAAAGCTCTGGTGGGAACTTCATCTGGACGCTCCTCAATCCTCTCAGAGAGCCTAAGGGAGTGTCCAGAACAAAAGACTACAAAAAGGTGGGGAACCTCCCTGTGACTGGGACCCTCAGGAGCTTCACCTTCCTCCTGCTGGACTATCCTTTGCCTCCAGCAATTTGCCAAAATTTCTAGTTTAATCGTTTTATTGGCTCATAGGGTGTATGGTGGTTTCTGTCTCAGACATGCAAATGCTTAGGTCCTGTGTCTCCCTAAAAGTGCCTGTCTCCAGATTTGCAATGGCTTTAATTCTCTGATTGGCTCACAAAAAGTCATTAATTTGCTGTCTATCCAGCTTTTTTTCTTGCTTGAAGCCTATACAAAGCAAGGAGGGTGAGAAATACATTACTGGCCAATAGGTTGTTTTCTTTCACCCATTATACCAAGCCCAAATCTTTCCTTTTTAGGAAAGGTAAAATGTAACTCCAGTCCCCAACAACAGACAAAAGATTTTTGTCACATAGACTAGTTTCCATTTAGTAAATCAGCTCTTTGTATCTGTCGCAATTGAGATAAATACATTCACAGACTGGCTGTAAATGCATCTGTGCTTTAGATCTAAAATGCACTTGGCAATTGCAGTTATCTCCTTTCGCTTCTGACAGAGATGCTCTGCACAGTGTGTTTCTGCACCCAGTTTATCGTGTGTTCTTATTTCTTTTGATGCATCATATTCTGCACAGACCATTCTTTACCTCCTTGTATACTTTATAGAGCCGTTCCCAGTAAGCAACCTCCAAGGCCATAGCATTATTCCTGTAGACATCAAAAAGGTGATGACATTTCTGAACCGGAGCCTACTGTGACTTTTCTGAGTCGTTTGCATCCTGGATGTGTTTGATGGAAGCCTGCTTCACCTTTTCTGGTTGGGTACTTTTTTACTCAAGTTTATCAGCAAATGGTTCAACAGTGGTACCATATTTCTCACGTAGATGAGCAACCCTATTGTTGATATGGTAGAGAAGGTCTCTATGGCAGTCACATGTATTTATTTAGATATAAAATACAAGTCCTGTGACACCAGTTTTAGGATAAAGGAACTGGAAGAATCCATTGGGGGAAAGCCCATGACAGATCTGTCCTCCATATTCAGGAAGAGGTGGTTCAGGGTCAAGACATGGCGACCATTTGTGAAAGATCCTTGTTACCTGTGATTCCCCTGGCCCTACACATGCTACATGCTTCAGAGAGGAGGCCACTGTGGCAATGGCAGAAGTACCACCTGGAACAGCATGGTCAGCAATGGTCCAGGTGGTGGCTGAGTGTCCCTTAGTGTCAGGTGCAGCAAGAATATAGACGGCCACTCACAGGTCTCACACAGTGACCTTTTGAAAATAAAAATCTAAACACTTAGCATCCCATTACTCTATTTTTACTAGAAGCTTACTTTCTAGTAATACTTATCAGTGACTTTTATGGCTGTATAAATATGCTTTTGATTGATGAACAGTTGATGAAGTTTGTGGTTAAAAAGATACATTGATCTGAGAAGACCAGGTAAGATTTGAAGCCTTCCCTAATTGCTTAAGAAGCATATTTGTTCATTTAACAAATATCTGTAGAGCACTTACTATGTGCTAGGCATTGTTCTAGGTGTGAGAATAGGGCAGTGAACAAGATAGACAACAGCCCTTCCCTCAAAAATATATGCTAGCTGGGGAAAACAGGTAACACATAAGATAACAACTAAAGAGGCAAGGAGGGAAAGGTATAAGGGGGGTAGCGAGATGGGAAGCGCCTCTCTGAGGACATGATATTTGAGCTGCTGGATGATGAAGAGGCCTCTGCAAGGTCCACTGGGTAATGTTAAATGTGAGATGCCTGTTAGACTTCCAAATGAACATATCAAATAGGCACTTGACTATATAAGCCTGGACATCAAGATTGTAGTAAGAAATTTGAAAGGCAAAAACGTGTCAATGTTTTTAATGCTCTAGAAGTAAATGAAATCAGCTTGGGAGATTGTCTGAATAGAGAAGAAATATGAGGGTCCAGGAATGATTACTGAAAGGATGAGAAGCTAGTGAGGTAGAAAGAGAACCAGGAGAGTTTTCTGTTGACAAGCTAAGAGAAAAAAGTATTTCTGGAAGGGGATGGTGGTGTTTAACCAGCTAACTGCTGCTGAGTTCAGTCAGGAGGAGGACAGACAAGTGACTCTTTGATTTGGCAACAGAGAGATCATTCATGACCTAGATGAGATGTATTTAGTGGAGTGCTGGGAAGGGAGCGCATTCCAGTGAGTTGAGGAGAGAACAGGAGGTGGAAATAGACACCGATTATAATAGGCGTTACATGGGATCAAAGAAGGATCTTTTCCTTTGGTGATTGTTTTGTTTGTTTGTTTTATTTTGTTTTTTCAAGATGGGAAATACCAGCACATGTTTGCATATTGGTGGGAATGATCCAGTAGAGAGGGAGAAATTCATGGATACAAGAGAGCAAAGTGTGTAAATGATACAACTGCCTAAGCAGGCATATGTTCCGGAGCACAGTGAAAGGGTGGCTGATGATGGGCAGAAGGCAGAGAGTTCAAGGATGATGTCCACTGCCCTGTACTCTTCTTCATTCTTGCTGAAATCCCTGGTCTTTCTCGCAAAGCAGTGGTGATGGACACACACACATCAAATGAGTCTTATTTTTTGCCTGTCATTTTTTGAATAATTTAAATCAGATAGCTACCCTGATTTTGTTTCCCTTTTTAGCCTGAGTGAACTATGTTCTATGAAACCCTAGCTGTGTAGATCCCTAATTACAAGTGCCATCTCAAAGCAGGCAGCATCACATCATGTAATCCACTCAGCAAGTCTTGGATGCAAGTATTGTTATAGACATTTTACATAGAAGGAAATGGAAAATACAGTACTGTTCGTAAAATACAACCAACTCTGTTGATGAATCCTTAGTCAAGAGAGAAAAGACACATTTAAATTAAATCACTATGTAAGAATACAAAATTGGGGCAAGCAGACCTCTCATTTATTAAATGTTTTTCTTTCTATTTTTCCATGGAAAAGTAGACTTTTTAAAAGCCTATTTTTCCTCACAGTCCATACAAAAAAAATGGTTTTCCTTTGGCGCCCACACCACCAGCCAGAGGTTGTAATTCTAGGAAGACAGGCTGCAATTGAGGTGTGCAGGGACCAGGACTGGCTGAGCCGAGACCTTCTCCAGAGGCTCACTGACAGTGAGATTCCTGTCTGCAAGGCTGCTGCTGCTGCCTC